CTCGAATGGGACGTAAACCAACATACACATAATCATGCAATCTTAGTCGCCCATCTTTTTTAGGTCACCCGAGTCATATATTGCTATCTGTGTTGTCCGTCGTCGTTCGTAAACTGTTGAACAATTTCAGCTTCTTCGCTGGAACAAACGAAACAATTTCAGCCAAATTTGGCATATACATGAAGCATCTATGGGTGACGGGGAGTAAAAATTGGGAAAGTCTTCCCCCAGGGCCTGAGGGGTGAGCTAACACCTTAAAAATTCGTGCAATCTTTAAAAATATCTTTACTCGTCGCCCGCGTGGTGCAGTGGTTATATAGCGTCTGCTCTAGAGTCGCGAAGTAAGGAGTTAATCCTATTATGTCGCGGGTTCGTATCCCACTGTGGGACGTGGAGACCGATCCTTCGGATGAGACCGTATAAATCGAGGTCCCGTGTCGCACGCGCAGTAGGTGCTGGCACGAAAAAAATCCCTCCCTGCTCAATGGCTCTAAGTGCAGATCATGGGTCAAAAATTTGAAGCTCTCCACCGGTAAAGCTAGAATAAGAGCTAGAGCTAGAATAAGAGTTAGAGTTAAGCTGCAAGGGTTACGGTCAGGGTTAGGCTTAGGGCGAAGGCAAGAATTCGACTCCACTGGCAAATAATTTAATATGAATCCGGATGGGGCTATGAATTTCACTATCAAACTATCGAGCATCGAATAAAGGGTAGATGCAGATGGCGCAATAACGATGAAAAGATGGGATAATGATGATGAAGAGATGGTGCAATTTAGTGAGATGACGATGATGTGATGACTGATGGTGCGATAGCAGAGATCCCGGTGTAAAGACGAATAATGACCCCCATCGAATAATGACCGGGGGTCATTTTTCAACGACAAAAAATGACCCCCTACCCGTAGAAAAAAATCATTTTTTGTAGAAAAAGTGTCATAGGGGTCATTATTTTATATGTTAGTCCTAAAAAAAATGACCCCAATTGAAAAATGACCGTCTTTAAAGTGAAAAGAGATTCTTTAATTGTCAAGTAATAAAATTTCTTTTTAATTTCCTCCATATAGTGTTTGTTTAAAGAATGATATTCCACTTGTTCTTAGAAATCAAACCATGCAACAATCAGGTTCCAAAACTCTTTAATAGAAAAATCAATTTTTCCTTCATTTCAACTTTTAGCTTGTATAAGTTTGGCAAATCCTCACAATGAAAGAGGAGGAAATTTTTAACCCCCCCCCCCAAAAAAAACTAGAACTGTCCAAACGGGACAAAATACCCCCCGCTGGGTTTTTCAGAAGTAAGTTTTTCAATAATAAAGATATGTATCAAAAACAAATTATGAAATTTTTATTCCAGTGACCTTGAACTTCCCCAAATAACCTTGGGTCAAGGTCATGACACACCCTTGGGTCATGGGCAATCTTTCAGTGAAATGAGAACCTACCAAGTTTATCCATAAGAAAGATATGGACTGGACACAAATTATGAAATTTTTCTTCCAGTGACCTTGAACTTCCCCAAATGACCTTGGGTCAAGGTCATGACACACCCTTGTGTCATGGGCAATCTTTGTGTGAAATGAGAACCTACCAAGTTTATCCATAAAAAAAATATGGACCGGACAGGGAATATAAAAAATTTTCTTCCAGTGACCTTGAACATTCCCAAATGACCTTGGGTGAAGGTCATGACACACCCTTGGGTCATAGGCAATCTTTGTGTGAAATGAGAACCTACCAAGTTTATCTATAAAAGATATGTATCAAACATGATTTATGAAAATTTTCTTCCAGTGACCTTGAACTTTCCCAAATGACCTTGGTTCAAGGTCATGACACACCCTTGGGTCATGGGCAATCTTTGTGTGAAATGAGAACCTACCAAGTTTATCCATATGAAAGATATGGACCGGACACGAATTATGAAATTTTTCTTCCAGTGACCTTGAACTTTCCCGAATGACCTTGGGTCAAGGTCATGACACACCCTTAGGTCATGAGCAATCTTATTGTGGAGTAGTAGATTCTAATGACCCTCTGTAAGAAAGATATGGACCGGACACGAATGCACAGACAGACGGACAGACGGACAGACAGACAGACGGACAGACGGACAAGGTGATTCCTATATACCCCCCCAAACTTCGTTTGCGGGGGGTATAAAAATACGTTAAATCAAAATAAATAACTAAAAATAAAAAATAAAAAAAAATAAATGAAAAGCAAAAAATATAAATAAAACTCTATACCTTTCAATAATACTGAAAGAGGCTCTAGATAAAATATTGAAATGAAGTTAAGCCTTCACACAAGTTCTATCATATCATAATTTACCTCGCCTTGATTAAAGCATACTTTAAATGTTGGTGGGGGTATACTTGAAAGTATTGTGGCAAAGTAACAGTTGAAAATTAGTAGAATAGTAGATTATTTTAAGCTTATTTTTAGTCCCTCCTTATAGAAAAATAAAGGTAGGGTAGGTTTTTGTTGTTGTTGTTGTTGTTGCTTTTGTTGCTAATCGACTTCCTCCTAAATAAGTAAGGGGGTGGGGTGGGTATAGCACCTAAAAACATGCTTTGTAAAGCTGTGGGCTAGTGTAAAATACACATTCTAATGCAAAAACTATACATGTAGACATAACTTTTTGATTTATCACACAGTATTCATTACATTTCTTAATTCTTGTTTTACTCCACCCTTTCACCCAGTTCTGAGTATATTTTTCAGAGAATTTAATATGAAAATCAGAACAAACATTTTCATTTTTGTAACGTCTTCTAAACTTTAACTGTATCATAACAAAGTTAATTGAAGACCATTTCTTTTTATGTCCCTGTAATCGAAGATTCGGGGGTATATAGTTTTATCGTGTCCGTCTGTATGTCTGTCTGTCTATCTGGCGGTCTGTTTCTCCGCAGAAACTTTAACCTTGACCATAACTTTTCATTTATTGTAGCTATGCCTTTCATATTCAATATGTGTATATTCCTTGTGACAAGACCTTACTTTGGGTACCACCAGATTTGACCTTTTGACCTTTACCTTTGAGTTTGTCCCATTTTACGAAAAAAATGCCAATTTTTAAATTAACTTTGGCTATAACTTTTAAACTGTAGATACTAGTACTCTCATACTTCACAAATGTAATCCTTGTTACATTAAACCTTTCTTAAGAAACCATCAACTTTGACCTTTGGCCTTTGAGTTTGACCTACCTTTCAAATACTTATCCCTAGCCATTAATTTTGAACAAGTGGTGCTAGGGCTTTCCTATTTTGCAATTGTATTTCTTGTGAGAAGACCCTACTTTTGATACCATTATATTTAAATTGCCTCTAAGAAAAGTTTAATCTTCGCTCTGTTGCCATACAGGGGCATAGCTGTTTCACAAACACATCTTTTTATATATAAGAGAAGTTGCGGATAAAGATGGATACCTCGAAGCGTAACAGACGGACGGATGGACGTCCCGATCACTATATACCCTCCCGCTTTTCAAGCGGAGGATATAATAATATATGATACTGCTGATTTTTTCTGTCAGTACGATGATTTCCACCATCGAAAAACAATGTTTACCTAACCCTGGCTCGATAAATCTTTACTCCTTTAGATTCTGAATCATAGCATTGACCTTAAAATATACCTATAATCGTAAGTTATGAGATCAACATATCATCAATTTATTCCAAATAAGCTCAGGTGAGCATTTTGGCCAATATGCTTCTTTATTTATTTTTTTTTTGCCCCCTAAAAATTTCAGCTTTAATCCACAGGGAGTCATTTTTCTACGGGGGTCACTTTTCTTCACGTGGGTTAGGGTGGTGACACTTTTTCTACGGGCAAAAGGGTCATTTTTCAACGTCGAATAATGACCGGGGGTCATTTTTCGCTGTCGAAACATGACCCCCCCCCCCCCCCCCCGGTCATTTTTCGCTGTCGATAAATGACCCCCGGTCATTATTCGATGGGGGTCATTATTCGTCTTTACACCGGCAGTCTCGCTGAGAGTGCTCGATGATGCGATAGTGATCAACTATACATTGCCCTTTTCGGATTTCATACAGCGATTGTATGGGGTTCCGTGTTCGTTCGCCCAAAAATTGTTCGACCGATATCCTGTTCGCCCGATTTTTCGTTCGCCCAGAGTCCGTTCGCCCGATTTCTCGTTCGCACAGGGTCCGTTCGCCCAGATTTTATATAGAATATATAATATAATGAATTTCTTTTTACATTTTAGGTACATTCGAAATAATACTTACTGATTGAGCATATGTCACACATAGGGTCATACTAAAAAATACATGCTCTATCAAAGACCTGACAGGCTGTTTGGAAAGGCACGGGGGGTTGACCTCTGCCATGGTTGATAGTTGAATGTTAATTTTCATCTTTCATCTTCCTATAAATCATTTTTTGAGATCAAAGGGAGATTCTTTAAAGGTAAAACCTTCAGGATCCGCTGCTCAGTTCTATAAGGGATCTATTAACGTCTTAGTCCCTCAATTGTTGTCAAAACATAGCGCAATTCGCAAAAACAACACGGGTGTATCCCCCAATTAACATTGATATTAGTAATTAATTAATTAACTATAGTGTAAACACTAAATCATTAATAAATGCATTAGAATCAAATCAAAAATTAATTAAGACTAAATAAACATTGTTCCTGGTTTGAGAAAAAATAATTTAACCCAAGTTCGTAAAGGAAATAAAAATACATGTTAATCTTTATTTCAAATAAGTTAATATATATAAGTATAAGTATATATAATATAATATATAAGTATTAGGCGAAACTTTAATAGGGCGAACAAGATTTTGGGCGAAGAAATTTTTGGGCGAACGGACCCTGCGCGAACGGACTCCCGCGAACAGGTAGATCGGGCGAACGAACCTGTGACCATTGTATGGTGCGATGACGATGATGCGATGGCCTGACAATGCGATGGTGCGGTAGAACGATGGAGCGATAACTAGTGCGATGACGCTATATTTACATCTGTAATATTCCATATATCTAGTGGGAGTCGACCCTAAAAAAAATGACAGCCCTGGATGGAGAACTGCATGCTGATTTGGGCAGTCTGATTGAATGAGACAAGGATAACACAAGAAAGCTTCCGATTGCTGTTATCAAACATTTTCTACTTTCGCTTTGTTGACAACGTGTGAACTTGGTGGTCTGAGAAATAGCACATGTGTCATTACTAAGACCATTTATTTTTGAGTAGATATTTGGATATAGTTTGATATGTCTGGACCCCGTGTGATGTGTGTGGGACTTGCTTGTGTTGACATTATAAGTGTGTGCAAAAATTATCCCGAGGAAGACAGTGATCAAAGGCAAGAAATTAAGTAGAAAGCATGAACTTGTACTCGGTAAAAGATAAGAAACAAATGTGGTTCAGCTGATAATTATACTAATAATAAGCAGCCTCAGAAAAAATATTACTATACAAGATGAAAATGTTTCATAGATTCTGTGTGTTGGAAATGAAGATCTCTATGGGGCATTAAGAGAGAGAAAAAAAAGAACTACTGATTGATTAGATTTTTTAGTTCTTGGCTTTAAATAAACAATTCAGTAGATATTATTATTATTATTATTATTTAGTCCTAATTTCAGTACAAACAAGTCAGTAAAATGAGTAAATAATCCATAATGTCATATTATTTAGTCCTTTGCATTACAGAGTGTTGGATTTCTATTGGCAGAAGGGAGGAAATGCTTCTAACACGAGCTCTGTTCTATCACTACTGGGAGCCCAGTCGGAGTATATGGGAAGCTTTGCTAATGATAATGAAATGAGGTATTGATTAAGGAATAGACACTGTCTAGTTTGTCAGGTATAGAACAAAATCCCACGTTTATACCCAACAAACTCTATTACTGTAAAATCAGTCATTTTTGTGGGGGCAAATTCTGCAATCATGTTTTTGTCTTAGGTACTTAATACATGTAATTATATAAAATATTTATTTTCTATTTTAATTCACAACAGGTTTTTGAAGGAGGACTTTGACAGTTTTGGGGTGTCCACCTCTCACTGTGTTACATACAATACAGGCTACATCACTCCTACCTCTGTTATAATTGTCAACTCACAAAACGGATCCAGGACCATACTACATGCCAGCAAGTAAACTACAAGTATTTACAATTTGTATCACCTTCCTTCCCTGTTGCCTTAACTTTTTTGATTGTACATGGCTACATACCCTACAAGTATTAAACCAATAGTACATGTACCTCACCCGAGTCCCGAAGATGTCCTTCTTTAATTACAGTATCACTCTTATGCTAATGTCAGTGAGAAAGGTATACAGTGAAGATTGATGTGCCAAATGGAAACTGAATAATCACATACAGTACTGTGTTACAATAATACATTGAATTCAAAACATTACTGAGAAAAATTCTTTACAGGAATTTGCCTGAAATTACTTTAGACGACTTCAAAGCTGTTAATCTGAAAAATTACAAATGGATACATTTTGAGGTATTCAGTTCTCTTTCATTTTGCAATTGCATTGTTTTATATCATCAAAGGAAAAGAAATAAACTCTAATCTATGTTTTCTTTCACATTTTTAGGGAAGACCAAGTTTCAATACCCCAGCCTATGAAATAGTCTGTATGTTAGCTC